AAGGAATGCATGAGGCAGGAAAACCATCTCTAAGACTGTAATATGAGGTGGATCAGGAGAGATAAGGGAAGGATAGAAGATGCAGTGATGTGAAGCTGAAAACTCTCTGAATAGGAAGAGAACTCTTTGTCTCCATGTGAAAAATGAAGCACAGTGTTTTTGTTGGGCCAATGCCTAAAAACATAAGTGAGAAGACACATGATTTGGTGAAGTACCTTAGGCAGGCATGAAGACTTCCATGTAGTTGTAAGCACATACTATCTGGATTGTTTAAAATATTTCACCTTTCTCATCATACTTTATATATTGCAATTTGTTTGGTAATATCATGCCCTCATGGTAATTGTGGTACAATATTGCACTTGAGCTGATTTTTGACATTAAGGTATATAGAAATCTTTATGGTATGTGTATGTGCATTTGTAACATATGGATATATATACACACCCAATAAATCATTATATAGACAAATGCATTTTTTATATTCTAACAATTTGGGAAGGTTACAAAATATAAGGATTAGAAAGGTCCCTAGCTATTCAAGATAGATACATGGAATCAGTGGAAATTATGTTTTGCAAAAGAGATGCTTAATTTGACTTATACCATTCAAATAAGCAGGACTACATTACAAATAACCTTGAAAAGTGATTTGCTGTTTAGACATCTTGTCATTTCCTTGAAGTAATTCCCATAGACCAAAGTTTGTTTACATGTAATTTGCAGGATCAGAGACCTCAAAATTTAGTTAAGGATCCTCAAGTTTTCATCTTCAAATATGAAGTAATAATGTACCTTTTGGTTTCTTGTTAGACATCTTTTTCAAGAATAGATACATTTTTTTAAAGTCACTCTAATATTGAACCAGCAATAACTGACATACTCCTCATGCTTCTTCACTGACTGGCCCACATGTTTAGCTGACAGTGACTTGTCTTCACAGTGCTAGGATTAATTCTTTGTATCAAACTTGGAAACTATGATGTGAGAAGCAAACTTGGAAACGATGATGAAAGAAAAAAGTAAGCACTTTCTGAAGGTATTCTTCTAATGTGTTCTTTTATAATCATTAAGAGAAACAGAATTTAATATTAGAGGGGGTTTAGGATGGCTGATTACAAAGTGTTCTGTAGAAATTAGGAATTTTTTCCTTAGGATTGTCCAGTATCTCTTTCATCTGATTTTACATCAAGCAGTTGTTTGTCAAAAGGGACCGTCTTCCATCAAGATGAGCAATTATAAAAGTCAATACCGCTTTTCAAAACATGGAATGGGAAATCCTCCTTTGATTCCCACTGGTTTCTATAGGTATAGAGTTTCACCTGTAACCTCTGTCCATGAGCTCATCTGAGCACAACTTCTAGCTCAGCTTGGTAAGGTAATATATGTATTATCTACTTGTGTTTTGCAACTGTTGGACTCCCTCTCATCTTTCTGAAGGGGTACAGTCTATTCACTCAGTTAAGCATCATGGTGGGCACCAAATAGTAAGGCTAACGACTTTTATTTTTCTCTCTCAATATTTCTTAATTCTGAATGAAAGTTGGGAATAACTGCATTTTATGATCTGTTATTTTTGTACTTAACCTACAAGTAAATACTGGTTAAGCAATGAGTTTTATAAGTTAGAAGTAAATGCCATTTAAGCAATGAGGATAATTGCAAGAATGCAAAATAATGGCTGCAAGAAATGATTCAGTGAGATACCATACTTTACAGTGCTGTGCTGAAAAAGATATTTATTAGCATTTTTTCCATTTCCTCCTACAAGGGAAGATAATGACAGACATTTGGTTGGGGTTTTTTGGGGGTTGTTTGGGGGGTTTTTTTAGGGTTCCAATTCAGTTGTAGAAGTTCAGCCCAAGTGTCATGGTTTAAACCCAGTCAGGTAATTCGTTCGCTCACTTCCCCCCCTTTCTTGCCCTCCCCCTGCTCTCGGAGGGATGGAGAGGAGAATCAAAAGAATGCAGCTCCCACGGGTTGAGATAAGAACAGTTTAGTAACTAAGGTATAACACAAATCACTACTGCTACCACCAATGATAATAATGATAAAGGAAATAACAAGGGAAGAGAATACATCATCTCACCACCAGCCGACCAGTAACTCGCCCCCCCCCAGCCCGACCAAGCTCTGACCGATACCTCCTCCAACCCCGCAGTCTCCCAGCCCTTCCGGCTAACTCCCAGTTACATCCTGGCCATGACGTGCTGTGGTATGGAATACCTCTTTGGTCAGTTTGGGTCAGGTGTCCTGTCTTTGCTTCCTCACAGCTTTCCCTCCTCCCTGGCAGAGCATGAGGCTCACAAAGTCCTTGGCCAAACCAAAACATCCTTGTTATCAGCTCTGTTCCCGAGCTGAAAGTCAAAACACAGCACTGCACCAGCTACCAAGAAGGGGAAAAATGACTGCTACTGCTGAACCCAGGACACCAAGCTTATTTGGAGCTGCTTAAATGCTTAAGAGCAATCTGTGTGCTCTTACATAGAACTACCATTAACATGCTAGCTGTAGTTATATTGAAACAAGCTCAGATTCATGTCCCCACAGAGGACAGAGATTTAAATGTTGAAATAAAAAAGGCATAAAGATCATCTCTAAGTATAGGCTGGGTAAACTGTCAGTGCTTTGTGGAAAGTGAGTAATGGACAATTCTGCATAGCAGCCATTGTACTTGTAAATTTGAGCAACATGTTTCTACTATGGAGCAATTTCATTCATATATTTCAGAACATTGAAAAGGTCACCAATTTCTACATAGACCCTTGTTGTATAAGCCTTGTACGTCCAAGATTACTTGAGTTGAGGTGTGTGAAGTTGTAGCTGCAAGAATTGGAAGGGAAGTATGGATGCAAGAGGCATAAACCTGGGGTGCTTCACCAACCATTTTGTGAATAAAGTTGAGCTGTGTGTCAAACTGACATGAGCATTCAGTATTAAGGACCGTGTCCTGACTACCTTTTTTATACTTGAAGAATTACACTGTTAAGAAGAAGAAGTGCAGTCAGATTCTGGAGCTGACTGATAATTAAATTTTACTAGAAACGGTAAAAATATTTGACATGATAGCAACATGAGGATGTACTGTATAATGTCATTTTTAATGCATCATCATAATTTGACACTGGTCTTTCAGTTTAACAGTAATTAATATCTCTTGATTGTTTCTATTTGGCTTACAGTATGTCTAATGTTATGTGTTGGGAGCTGTGAAAGGTGCATGATTGTGCTGTTTCTGTTCAGGTTGTATCTAGTTAATAACTTCACTGTCCAGTGTTCTTTCAATAAGGGTACCTAATACAATATTTACATTATTTTAGGTATAGAGAAACTGGCTTTTCAACCAAACTGAATGATGCATCTCAATATACAAGAAGAGCATATGCATGTGTGAAAATCTATGCATGTGTACATTGATTTAGACAAGTTCTCTCACTTCTTCCCTAATCAGCTTGAGCTTCTCAAATCTCAGGCATCTGTAAGGAATCATGGCTTTCATGAAAGCTGGAAGTCATAAATCTCAAGATGCATTAATATGCACTCTTATTTGACACTCAGTAGAACTTCCTGTCACTCCCAAATTCAACATATTAAATAACATTAAATGAAGGTCTCATGACTAACAGATGCCAGATAATGCAGGTTTTTTCTACTCACATGAGTGGCTTAGTGAGTCAAGTAGCTGTCATTTTATTCCTTTGATCCTTTGAGTTTGTAGCCAGTAAATTATATACGTGGGTTTTTTCTTATTATTTATTCTACAACAGAAAGCATTTACCTTTCCTTTATGTTCTAAGTATCTGCTATTCTGTTTAATGCCAGAAGCAAAATGTTGACCTTTTTGGGTCCTTGAGCTGATCCAGCATAGTTGCTTTTCATTTCTGCAGTTCTGTAGTAGCTAGATTTTGACTATTTTTCTATAATCTTAATTTCTCATTCAAGTAAGAAAGCTGTTACTTTGAAAACTTTGAAGCTCAGCAAAAAAAAAAAAAGGAATTTTTGAGGTTGTTAAACTTATTAACTAGAAGACTTTCTTTTAAGATTTTAAATAATTATGAGAAGAAATAAACTCTGAATATTTATACTAATGCCAGTGAGTTTTGTATAAAGTTTAATCTTTACTTCAAATGCTATTCTTCAAATATATTTTCAACATAAATTAAATGCAGGAAAGTTGGTATTAACTCTTAGAATAATAAGGATACTTTCCAAGTAATACATAAATCTTAATAACAATATACATACGAATCTATTTTAGCTTAACAATATCAAGTAGCCAGAATACATTTTGGACTGTGACAGGATTTGTGTGAGCTTTCTCCTTTAAAAGGAGATCTTGGCTTTGAATTTCAAATATTTTTGTAGCAGGTGAACAAAAGTGATCTTTTTTTTTTTTTTTTTTAAGAAAGCCAGCTAATTGCATGTCTGCCTCATTCAGTTAAGTCTTTGGTGACGAGCTTTCAAGAGAGCGTTTTATGTTTTGCTTCCTTTTGTTTGGGCTTTAGTTTTAGTTTGGGTTCTTTTGTGTTTTTTTTACTGTCAGTCTTTGCTGAGAAGTTCCTGATACCACTGTTAAGAGTAAACTGTTCTTTGAGGGAAGCTTTGACTAAATCTCTAGTTTGAAATAGAAACTGGAAAAGTGCAAAGCTAATGGGAGGAGAGTGCCTTCTTCCCCATTGCCTGAGAGTTTTTTGTTTTTTTTAATGTGAAAGCAAAAGCAGTCTTGACAGAAAAACTAATGGTAGCATGGTAGACTAAAACAACTTTATTTTGGTAATACACTGTTATGCAGTAATACTATACTTATCTATTTGGGGTGACTTGAGTATTTTTTCCATTGTTTTTCAGGCATCATTCTAAATATGATTTTCTGTTTGGTCACTACTTGGATAATGTGAATGGTACCCATTATTGAAAGGTAGTCTGTATTTGTACTAATACAGAGAATGCCAGTTTAGAAATGAGCCTGATTGCATGGTTCATTTTGTTCTCCTTTGTAGAGCCAGGCTGCGGCCCACTACAAAGGCACTAAACATGCCAAGAAGCTCAAAGCACTGGAAGCCATGAAAAATAAGCAGAAATCTGTTACTACCAAGGACAGCGCAAAGACTACCTTCACTTCCATCACTACCAATACCATCAATACCAGCTCTGACAAAACAGGTTAAGCGACAATCTTTGTTGGTTTTGTTTAGCTTTTTGGTTTGGTTTAGTTTGGTTTCGTTTTTCTTTCTTGTTTAATTCCATGTCTGTTTGGTTATGTGCTTGCCACATCAATTCATGCTCGATCCATCTTTCTGTGTGATATTGATTTGTTTTAGTCCTTTCAATAGGCTGGTGAGAGTATGATAGTCATGACTGATTTCTCTTAGTGAAAAGAGGCTTATCATTCTTTTAGGCCAGAATGCAATACTGACTTGATTAATTTTTATAGTGGCCAAACTATTACATATCAACAGATCTAAACCTCCTAGTCTGTATGCAGTATCTCTCCATAAATAATTACATATGGCACATTTCTTTTGACCACAAGCAAGTAGTAAATTGCACTACTTGTGTCTAGAAGCCTCTTAAAAATCATTATGAGTAAACCCCTAATTTTCATAAAATTTGAACATTGCATTTTTTTTTTTAAATGGCTATTGCATGGTTTTGAGTTGGAAAATAGCTGTATAACCTCTATTCCACACAATCAGGTAAGTGCTATTGTTGCCTTTTATTCTGCTTAAATGAGTCTTCAGACTGCAAAAATATTCTTTAAATTATTGTATGGGTGAAAGGTACCCCTTTGCAAATAAAATCTATGTGAGTATTTGGTAAAGTCAGCAGGATTTGATCAAGCTCACAGCTTAAATATGTGGTTACTGTACTGGAAATTTCAAAGGAAGGTTGTAAGTTCACTGAAGGGTACTCTAGTATATGACAAGGTACCACGGTTCTTGTGGCTGAAGGGATACAGTTACATATTTAGTCACAATCAACCCTCCTTCTCCAAACAAGCTAAAACCAGTCATGGCAAAAAAGCCAAAGCTGTGAAACAACAGAACCTTTCTACCGGTGCTGGAAAATACTCATTTGGAACTACTTCTGATGAGTAAGTTTAGCATCATAAATAGACATGCACTAACCAATTACAGTATAACAAAAAAGTAACTTGCAGACATGTGTAGTACTTTCCATAAGATATGTCTTAGCTATATTAGTTATAGACAGATTCCTGTATGTCTGTCTATCTAAATAGCTTTGTTCTAGTACTTTATTATAGACAGCATATGTTTTTGTGGAGATTTATATCCTATTTATAATGGGATGGCTTCAAAAACCAATTGGTACATTGTTTCCATCTTTGTTACAAAAAAAAAAATCCTAAGTACTTTTGTTTGTATGATGAAAGAAAGTAAGTGAAGCATGGGAGAATGGGAATGCTGTCAAAAGTTATTTATGAAAATATACGTTTCTAAACTTACAAATACTTTTTAAAAGTTTCTCCTGCTCTTGCCTGTTAGCATGTTCAGTGCAGAAAGGGTGATGTTGGATGGAAACAGTGATTTATTGTTCATGAAACATGATCTAGTGGTTGGAGAAAATAACAGAAGAAAAAAGAGGTCTTTCTAAGCTTTAAAATGTATTATTCAAAAACTTTTATCTTATGCTGTGTAAGTTTGAAGGTTTTTCCAAGGTGCTTAAATCCAGTCTGAGTCTTTCCATCGGGCTTTGATTTAGATCCCTGGCAAGATGTATGAACTGTCTTGTATCCAAGGTCAGTAGTACAAACCAGTTTTTGTATCAGTATAAATAAGAAAACATAAAAAAATCTAACAAAAGCAATGGCCTATGGAGGAGTTTCCTCAGCTTCACACATTGTCTGTGACTTCCTGGATTAATTTCATAGAATGTGTGTATACATGTATGTATGTACATGTATACATATATGTATTCTATGTTAGATATATTGACCTTAATGGCATTCTAAAAGACACATGTTAATTGGAAACAACCAAAATCTGACAGTTTCACAAAATACTGAGAAAATTCAACTGCTTGGCAAAAGCCCTATTCAACTGGTGATGTTCAAAGAAAGGCAGACAGTTCAATCCAAATACAGTTATTACAGGTCAGCATTGATATGAGTGACAATAGAATAGCATCCTTGGTGTAAATTATCCTTTGTAGATTGAAGCATGTATGCATAGCAGGAGGGGGAAAAAAAATTTGGGTAGACAAAAGGATGAAATTTTCTGTTAAACATGACATGTTAAAAATTTCATAAATCAGATTTTCTTTCCTTTCCAGTTGTTCTGTGTCTTGTGTTTCTTGATAGAACTTACGAGGGCAAAATGATTTCTGAAATCCAGAAGAACATCACAGTGTAATGCACTGTGTGAATTTGCACATTTGTAAATGATCACTGTAAAAGTTAAATATTCTGATAGTCTTATGAAGCTCTCAGGTAATAGTCATACTAATGATTATCATTCCTTAATTAATCTTTCATAACTAGGAATAAATTCTTTAAGTTAGTAAATCCTTGCATTTATGATAGTTTGGTACAGAAGTGTTTTTATACAGTATTTTGAAACTTACAACTGAAGATTAATACTTGATCCCAAATGCATTGAGGATAGGGTCATGTTCGTATCACCTCCAATATATAATGTACAGCAGTGGTTCAATGGTGAATTACATATCAGTCACAGCATATTGCTCAGGACTTCAGTGCTCTGTTTCTGTGTGCCCTTAGCAGTATCAGCAAACAAAATGTCATCAGGAAATCTGTAGTCCTATGCAACGATGATTATGAAAAAAAGACCACACAGTATGCAAACTGATTCAAGAGTTAAAGCAGTGATTTGTTATGTTGCTTATTCTGGAACTATTTTGTTAGACATGGTGCCAGCAAGTGTTACTGCAGTAAATAACGGAGACAGAGCAACCTACAGTGTAAGCAGACTCCTTAAAACCTCTCATGATTCCTGGTGAATCATGTGATAAGGAGAAAACATGAAATAAGGGCTCGTTTTGCTCATTCTGGGAAAATTGCTGTTTTATTTTTTTACTCCTTTAAACAAACTTTAAGAATTATTACTACACTTGAACTTATGAAGAGTTCATAACTCATGAAGAGTTATGCTGTCAGCCACATAATGGACAATGCCATTCTTAACACGTGGGAACTTTGTTACAAATTCTATTATTCAACATCATTTCTGGTCATCAGATGAAACTTGCTCCTGAAGTAACAATTTCAGTCCAACTGTGACAATTTTAAAATGGTGAGCAGGTGGAGGTATAAAAATGGAAGGCAGAAAGGAGACGGAAATTGGAAATGATGTGCCAACTCAGGGTAACCTTTGAAGGAGGAAGAAAGAAAGATGGCATGAAATGGAGAGGTTTGGGAAGAGACGTAGTTTGGAAGCCACAAATACCGCAGGTTCACAGAATTTCTGAGGTTTTGTGAAGGCACCACAAAGGGACATCTGGAAATTGACAAGGCCTCCCCTGCAGGTCAGAGCAGAGTCAGCAAGAGCAGGATGCTCAGTATCTTCTACAGTTTAGTTTTGAACAGCTTCACAACTTTTGCTGGGCAGCAGTTCTAGTGTTTGACCACCCTCAAAGTAAAGAAGAGTAAAGAATTTTTTAAGTGAGAGCTAAGAAACTGTAAGAAAAAACACAAATGAGCTCAAAGACAAGAACTAAAACAGGAATGAGTAAAACTTATTCAAATCATTAAATTCTGCTAATGCATGGCTTTAATATGTTTGCACTGGTTTCCAATCAGGCAAATAACATTGAATTTATGTAACATGCTCTATGGTTATGAAATGCATTTTACATGCAATTAAAGAATTAAAGTTAAAAAAATTAAATGGCTGGTAACTGACAGAACTGCAAAACTCGTTCTCTTCCATTCTAAATTCTTGTTTCTTTATGTCTTTCTGTTGAAACAGGTGGCAAATTCTGAGTTTTTATTTCAGAGCTGGTTTATTCTTTTTAAGTATACTTCAGGCCCTGTTATATACTGTCCTTCTCCTAGGATGGTTGCCTGAAGGCTAGTGAGGTCTCTAACTTGAAACCCGGGTGGATAGAGCTCGTTTAGCCTTGTAAGGCCATCCATCTAAGAGAAGGACACTAACCAAACCTACCACCTGAGGACTTTGCTGTCACCATCCAAGCTCGCTAGGCCCTGGCAGATAAACCTCAGGTGTAAAGGGCCTGTCCAGTTCTGCGCACGCTGTGCCTCACCTAAAAAATCCACTGCACAGGCCCGAAGGGTTTGCCCACGCTTGCAAAGCCCTGTAGCGACAGGCGAGGGATGAAACAGCACGTGATGGGGTGCATTGGAAGCCGCAGACCCAACCCTGCATGTGGGCGGTTCAGGACATGGGTCGCTTGAGGCTGACCCAGGAGATGACAGTCTGGTTCGGCAGCATCCTGAATGACCAAGCAGCCTTTTTTCAGGGAGTCCCGCACTGGCCTTTTTAGTCATCAGCGCACTTGCAGTAAGTGTGGGTAAAACCCTTCCCAAATCTTCATTTGCAAAGTCAAGCCATCATCATCATCATATGCTGTATTGTCTTTGTTTATTGGGCCTTTTCTAATCCCTCCATAGTACATTTTGTCACCCTTCCAATCTTTAACTGTGCTTCTGTGGGGCGACTGAGGAGTTTACAGATACTGGGAGTAAAAGCTAGTGCAGATCTTTTGCCCTAACATCAGCTTACACTGGAGCTGAAAATGGTCTGCAGATACATAAGGAGTGGTGAATAACGTGTTGTACAGTATGCAGGATGTCTTATGCCATTACTGAGATGGAGAATTCAGCTTTAAATTAAAAGGGGGTTTTAACAAAATTAACTCAAACTGAGCTGCTTGGGCTTTTCATCTGTGCTTTTGGTTTTGTTGAATATATGAAAGAGAAGGGCAGAGGTTATGAAGTGTGATATTCATTGAGAGCCAAGGTGGAATTTCTTTGACCAGCTATAGACATATATATTGATGCTAATTGCACTGGCTTTTCTTTACTGTGAGAGGAAATCGTGTCAATGGAGTCTAGGGCACACTTCATCTTACTCTAAAGTAAACATCTATAATAAATAAGATGAATCGTGAAAACCTGAAAAAAAAAAAGTATAAAGCAATGCCTGTGGTGGCTAGATGAGCTA